ACAGCATTTTATCAGGCATAGTAAATATCTATTTAGGGTAATACGAAAAGCTTGTCACTAAATTTGACATTAGAAAAGTGACTACAGATCTAGGTCTATCCTATTCTGTTTTGTTTTATAATTCTACGCTGCAAAGTCACCCTTTTAATTTTCTTTTGTTATACCTTTGATGTCGAGCAAAAAACTCAGATGTGATAAATTCTCGTCCTGTCACCTTTGGTCTGTGTTAGTTTTTGGATCTTAAAAGATCTGACTAGATGCTCCTCAAGCACCAACATTAATCCATGTGCTTTTAGCATAACCTTTGCTGTGATAATTGCCATTCTCATGTTGCTCTCGCCTTGAATATCATGCAATATGGAGGTCAAGATCGATGGAACATGGTGAAGTTGGCTTTATTTATACAACTGTACGGAAAATATACCGGGTGAGCCACATAGAGTAAGTTTCCAACTGATATAATGTAACCTTGTCTTTTTAGCATTGGAGGTTTCCTAAAGCAATGGGGATTCTTCTCCATTATCTGTGTTGTGATTTTCGCACTATTTATCTTTTTTTGATTACTTTCTTTCTTCTTGCTTTTTATGTCGTACGTTATTAGGGCAGCTCATGGTGAATGACCGCGTTTGAAGACGAAAAGTCACGCTCAATTCACAATACCCATTGTGTGTTATTGTAATCCCTTCTATGTAGAATGAGAGCTGAAATTTTCATCCTTTTCATATGCTTCGTTGTTTATCTCATGCACAAAGTTTCCGCCCTACGCGCCTTAGCGAAATGACCTATTCCTAGTGCAGTAGACTGTGTGCCATCATGAATTTTCAATTGAAAGATGTCGACCATACTTAATAATAAATCGTTAGTTCCGTTGTTATTGTTGTTACCTCTATTTATAGTTGAGTTCTTTTGTACTTCTTCTTTTTTTCTATGGAAATGGTATCGGGAATTCGTCATGCTTTGTTACGTTAAGGAATACGACATGGTGCGACTTACAGTTGAGCTGATTGACAACGCTCCACAGTTTATCAATACAGTCCGAGAGCGAGAATTGAATTTACGTGGATACAAAATCCCCGTGATAGAAAACATGGGTGTTACAAGGGTAAGCCCCACGATGATGGATTTACTAAATTTTGATCAGCGCGTGCAAAATGTGGGTTTCTTTTTCCCACTTTTGTCATGGGTCCTCTATTCTCTTAATTTTTATTGTCAAATGATAACTTGATGAGACGAAAATTTGAAAGGCGTGGAAATTTTGCCTCTTTGGCTTTGCGTCAAATTGCGATTATAGCTTATGTTATTTAAAAAAGCGGTCTCTTTCCGATGTTTCAATCTCAGATTATTGCTTCTAGGATCAGTTTGACGTGATTGACCTGACCGATAATGACGTCAAGAGACTGGACAATCTTCCACTTTTGAAACGATTACATACTCTCTATCTACACAACAACAGAGTACAGTAAGTTTTTTTTT